CAGCGCTGCCCGCCAAGAAGCCCGTTGGAGCTTTTCGAGGAGGGTATGTATCACAATCCTTCCGGTAGTCAACTGGCGATTTCAAAGGTCATGTTCCTAACCTCCTGTACAGAGTTTTCGGCTTTCTCTGCGGTGCCGTTGCCGCCGGCGCGTCTGTCTATTATTATGTGCTTGGAGACTATCGCATCTCTAACGAGATGTTGAACACAGATATTCATGTATGTTTCTGCTCTTTCCTAATCAGCCCCTGTCTTCGCGTTTTATGGTAGCTAACTGCGGCCCTTTCTTCCCTGGCTTGGCCTGGGGAGATGATGCTCTGTTCTTTCATAGGCTCTTCAGTCTGCCACCATGAAGCTTCAATCTTATGTCTCCGAGCTGGAGACGAAGGTTGATCAGTTGAAGAAGAAATAGGAGACGCGCACAACTCGGGTGAAATTCCCATTGTACTTATTATTGCATGGTTACTCAAGTTGGACCTGTGAATTGTATTTCCCTTTTCGAGTTGGACTCCCCGCTTCCGAGTTGGCACTCTCCAACTCCCGCGGCATCGTAGGCTGATATGATCAAAACAACCTTGGAACACGAAATCCCACGGGGAAAATAGAGAAATTCAAAATCATAATTCAATGGCAGTGTGCATAGCTTATGGCTAAGAAAAATATACTCTTGCTCCTCGCTGACATTTGATGGAGCCAGGAAACCTGGTAATTGGTGATTAGTAATCTTATTGTATTTATTGGGTTTGTTTTCACAACTTTTGAGTTATCAAAGTACGGGCAGTATTCAGCCCACGAAAGTCTAAGAGACAAGCATTTATCGGGGTATTTTTTTGTCGAGACAAAGATAACAGTCTGCACCATGCATGGATCCTAGTTGAGAAAGAATTTGCCTCTGTTTGCTCGCCAAGCGACGAAGAAGTGGCTTTGGACATCGAGTTTATCACCCGGTTCTTTTGGATCTGGAATTATTAACTATGGGGCCGGAGATCGCGTTTCATATACTAATGGGAGCAATCGTTGGGTGGCTATCCTATGCCCCTATATCAAGACTAGAGACTGGGCTGCAGGAAATGTCAGTGAATGGTCATTGAAAAATGAAACAGCGTGCCCTATTCGTGAAATTAAACTTATCTAAGATCGAAATTATCTTTCATTTAAATTTTGGATTCAAAGCTTACCAACGATTAAAGAAGAGAGGTGTATGTTAGTGAATAGGTATTAGCAATGAGATATAGCTTAACTTGCTTGACATACCTGGGATCCAACAAGGCAGTTCCTTGGGGTCATTTGGATGCAAGGTTAGAAGAATGACAAATCTCCACGTGCGCCATAGGACCAGAAGGAAACCAAAGCAGACAATTGAGAAAACGGCCGTAGAGTATTAGTTGTCGGGTATTAAAGCCCATAATTGGCGCAATTAGAATCAATTTGATAATCTCACCTGTACCAACTCGGATGGAATTGCAGTTGTAGTATACATCTAGTTAAATGCGGATTACCTTCTCTTTATTTGACCCATTGGTGGACTGACAACTTCCCAGTCCCATCACTTCTTTGGTGTCTGGTCATATATTCAGCGATATTATTACCACACGCTAATATTCATCACCCTGGTGAATTGATATTCGAAGTATGGAATCCAAAAATTTTTGTCATGGTTGGTTACAGGTGATCCATGGATATATTTTCGTAAGCTATGTGATTTACTAGCGCAGATCGTAGTACCTGCCCAGGTGAGCATCATGATTTTCGTGCAGGGTCATTGAATACATAGCAGATTAATACAATGATACGATATATCACCCACGCACCTCACATTTAGGACACAGATAGGCGGATAAAAGAGGAACCTCAGGAAAGAAAAGTGTGTTTTTTTGTCATTTTAATCTGAAATAAGGTAATTCTTGGCTCATATTCTCGATATTTTCCGAGGGCTGAGCGCGCATAGACCCAACCTCAAATGCAGGTGGCATGTAACAGAGCAAACAAGGCTAGAATATGTGTCTTCTCCGCATGATTTCAACACATCTAATCGGATTGGTGAGTCCAACATGCGGATAGGGCCCATAATGTGGATGGCGGGCCGCGATGGTGGGCGTTTCGGCTCCGTTAACGGGAGATTCACACGACTGCGTTATCTGTGATCAACAATTGGCCATTTTATTTAAACTACCTGATTTTGATAGGTCCAATGGAGCCAAGCCAAGAAGACTAGTTTATGCTCGGTAGGTACTATGTACCCGTAGGCCTAAGTGATTCGAGGCTGAGACGCACGCACGAACTGATTCCAGTTAGCGTCGACCACTGCCAGAATCCCTGCTTTTCTTCGTTTTATTGGGGGCGATTAAAGGCCCTGGTGGCGTGGTAAAATCCTTGCTCGGCCCGAGGAAGCAGTTTTACTTAGCTCTTAAGAGCTGTTGTCAGCTTATTTCGATTCTCGCCCATTCGAAGATTCTAACTTGTGTGGATACCACTGGTACACACCCTGATTCTCCGACACTGTTCCCTGCAAGCAGCATGGCGACCGCCCTGGATCACCCTTTTTACCCTCCTGATCTTGATCCTATTGGCTATGCTGCCAATACGATGAGTATCATTGCCCTGCTTGGAACTTTCGCTGTTGCGGTCGCTGGTGTTATCGGATTTAGCTCGGCTGTTCTAAAGGCCGCAAAGCCGAACATATCACGAATAGACAAGATTCTGGTAGGATGGTTTGTCTTTAGTGAGTTACCCTTACCCCAGTATTGTCGAATTGAACTGAAATGATAACGTAATTTGCTAGGTGGGTGCATACACTTCATTCTAGAAGGGTATTTTGTGTACAACCACAAAACCATGCCACGTAGACTTGATCTTCTTGGTCAGATGTGGAAGGAGTATGCGAAGGCCGACTCTCGATACATGACCATGGAGCCCTTTGTACTTTGTATGGAGACGATTACAGCTGTAAGTTTGAAGCATTTTATTCCGTCTGCGGTTAATCGTGCTAAAAATCTGTGCAGTTTGCGTGGGGGCCCTTATGCTATACCATCGCATGGATGATAGTTTCGGAGTCTCCGCACCGCCATCCAACACAGATCATTGTCTCTATGGGCCAGTTCTACGGTGATATTCTATATTATTCAACAAGCATAATGGAGGAAATCTACCATGGGAGGTCTTATGCCCGCCCGGAGACTTTCTATTATTGGGGGTACTTTATCTTCCTCAATGCCTTCTGGATTGTTATTCCAGTCTGTAAGGAACCCATTCTCCTAGAGCCCATGGATTTTATTTTTGCGTGCTAATATTCTCTCTAGTCTGCATATATCAAAGCTACTCAAAGATGGTGGGAGCGTTCCGACAAGCCTCCAGTAGCTCCATCAAAAAGAATCTGTGAACTACCAAGCGTTTTGTCTCATAGGGTACTAAAAAACACTAAAATTTTGTGAGTTTAGACCGAACTGCGTGGGATAAACCGGAGTGGATTTATGTGGGCGCTAGAATTAGGAAGTCAGAGTAGCCAAAGGATGGACATAAGTTTTAGAGTAAGGTGACCTTCGGTCGTTGAAAATGTATATTAGAGGGTTTGGATTTGGTACATTGAATGCGGTTGGCAAGGTCCCGGTACAAATGAGGCGTAGAAACAGACACAACTGAGAATTTATATGAATGAAATGCAATTTCCACGAGCTGGAAGAAGAAGAAGAAGAAGAAGAAGAAGAAAAAGCAGAAGACTGTACAGTAAGAGTGGGGGTTGAGCATCTCCCTCTGATTGGTGGCTTCCCTCAGGCTGATCTGCCCTTGCGGTTCCGCTCTCAAAAGTGTAGACAACCTTCAAACTCCCCAACTTCCCAACTACCCATCCCTCCGATTCCACAAATCGAAGCACGACACCATGTTTCGAGTCGAGCTTCTTCCTTCAAATTCCCACGCCCAACCGGGCTGGTCCTACGTCGCCGACCGAGGCTTAGGCCCATCCAAAGCCGCCACAGCCCCAACCCTCGGCCGCAAACGAGGTATTCGCGACGCCGGCAAAGGCGGCGACATCTCCTCACGACGCGCCAATGCCATCGCACGACACATTGCCGAACTGGACCGCGAGAATCAACGTGATGTGACAATCCCCGTCCCCGTGAAACAAGCCAAGGAAGCCGGAGCGCGCAAAACCCGTGAAAAGACCACCTCCAACGTGCGCCGCATCCTGATGTCCCAGAAGACTTTCAAGAATCATCTTGATGACGAGGAAGCTGCCATCGCTGCCGGTGGGGGTGGTCTCAGTGCGGTGCAGATTGGAGGAGGAGGAGGGGCCAATATGAATGCTGCTGCGGTGGCTGCTGCTGTGAAGGCAGGCAAAGATGCAGTCGCGGCGACGGTTGCGCGACGGAGCTCTACACCTATGACGACTTCTTCCACCCCAGCCGCACGTCGAAAGAGACCTTCTGCTGCGGTTACTGCGACGTCAACACCTACTCCTGCCCCTTCACAACCGGACACGACCGATGCAGAGACCGAGAACGATGCGGAAGAACCGAAGCCGAAGCTGTTGAAGACCGAATATGACAACGATCCGCTTCTACAATCTTATGCTCCCAATATGCCATCAGATCGCATCATGCAGCTCCTGCTTGCTGAACCGGCACTCTCTTACAATGCATCGCGTGTTGCGCCACCGCACGCTTCACAGCCGCCGCGGAACTTCTGCTACATGTGTGGATATTGGGGCAAGATCCGGTGCAAAAATTGCCATGTGCGAACATGTGGGCTTGATTGCTATCGTCTTCATGAGGATTCGAGATGTGGTGCCTTCTTTTAGAGGGGCCTTCTTCATATGTACACTATCCAAGGGGACTATTTGGTCTCCTTGTAGGCTTTAATGACTTTATGAATATAATGAAAAATGTACAGTAGCACAATTTGAACAACTGGAATTACTATATTGCTTTCATATATTTGAGTTGATCTCATGTTATACACTAGAAGAAAGCGAGAAAACGGAGGAAACACAGAGGTGAGATCAGTTCAACACTTCAGGTTGATGCCCATGCGCAATTCATCCTCCCGAATCTCAAACATGACCTGCACGCCGACAAAGAGCACAACGCAGCAGGAAAACATATAAGCAAGGCCGGCATATGAGCCGGTAAGCCCTGCAAGCAGATCCTTCAGTCCGTCCAAGCCAAGGGCGAATCCGACAAGATTAGCAATCATCATCATAAGAACGTTGGCAACAGATCCCACGCCACTGAGAACACGATATGCTGTAGGACGAGAACGCCAACGCTTAGCGGGGAACATCATGCCAGCTAGGGCCTCGGGCAGAACGAAGAGCGTCACAAGCCAGCCCCACATCAATAGACGGAGGTTGATATCGTGCCAGAGAGCGACGAAAGTGAATACCAACAAGAAGTTGCGGATTTGAAGAGCCTTGGACATAAGGCCAGATGAGGGGGGTGATGAGGAGGGCTTTGCGCCCGCAGGGCGATGACCACCACCGCCACCACCAAGAGGGATATAGATGTATCGCACAATCCAGCGGTTGAAGGAGCGATGCCAGCCACGCCAGAAGGCAAAGGCAGAGTAGTTATTGGACATGCAGCGGACCATGTTTTCCGGAGGGTCAATTCCGTCAACGAGAGCCCAAAGACGGAAGAATCGCCAGGGGATAAGTAGCTTCAGCCAGATGATGTGGAGGTTGAAGAAGGCCAGCATACTGAGTTGGCCTGGAGTGAAGATGGACCAATTTGGCGAGGCTTTTGAAATAGCCACTGCATAAATATAGTGAAGTATAAGCTCCATGCAGAGGAAAGTTAGGAAAAAGCGGACGCCGTAAAGGATGGTACGGGTGCAGGTCACTGAAGGCGCAGTATATCGCTGTTGAGACGCGTAGTCGTTGAAGGTCAGGATGGGGCCAGCCAAGTATAATGGCGAATAAAGAATATAAGCGACATAGTTGCGCGGGGTGAAAGCCGTTGGCTCAGCAGGAATCTTAACACGATCCCTGTCGGAGAGGGTTGCGGGGTCGAGTTGTTTCTTCTTGTAGAACTCGGTCAGTTGATGATCGACAAAATAGGCGACAAGTGCCTAGATAAAGCAGAATAGAGGTGGCATACTTCGATAGGACTTGCCGCGGGGTAGTCAACGCTCCAGTAATAGTCCATGTTGAAGCTGATTAGACGCAGCACAGTCACCTTGAACAGAACTTCCCACCGGGGCATTATACCCCCCATATCATCCAATGAACGGGCCCACTGTACCAGCAGGGTAGCTTTCTCTCCTGGCGTTCCAGATCCCGGGGACAAGAACATGGCAATGGGTTCCAGTTGGTATCCGCCGAGTAATTCATTCGCGAACAAGATGCTGAGGTTGAAAGTCCATGTCGCGGCGGGAACATAAGCTCGAGGAAGACTCTTGCCAATTCGATAGTTGATGAATAGAATCAAAAACACCTTCAAAGCTGAAATCCCATGAAGTGCCACGATGAAGATCATTCCAAATGCAAAATCGAAGCGCATGCGCTGGTCGAGTTGCACTTCTCCGGCCGCAGCCACCGGTGACTTTGTTCCAACATTGGGTCGACTAGCGAAGGACTGATAGACTCTGCGGGCTAAAGGGTGCGCGATGAGGAGCAGGAAAAGGTAGGGGATGTTGTCACGAACGCTTGCATACTGGGCATCGGAATTGTCCTGGTGAGGTTGAAACAGTCTATGTCAGCGTGCATTCGGTGTGGTAAGGAAAGCATTCGCAAGATAGTGGAAGAACTGACGACTAAACGACCTGGAATCCATCCTGGTGATAATAGGTCGGAGTATGCAGCGTAGGCTGGGTTGCTTTCTATAATTTTGCGGATCCACAGTCAGTGATGTGGCCAGAGCCCCGGCCCTTTGCAATGGGGAAGGTTCACCTTTCGAGGCATCAATCACAGTCTTGAACATCAATGGAACGAGTATAATAAAGAAAAGATAGTAGATGAAGAATTCGGGCGTGCGCCAGAGTGATGCACGGGCATTCTGAGCAATCGAGTTGGCGCGGGCATCTTTTGCGGCGGGTCGCGTGTCGGAGTTGGAGCTGGAGCTGGAGTTGGGATTTGCAGGGGTGATGGCAGTGGCCGTAAAACGAGTGTCAAGAGTATCGAGCGAGTAAAGCCGCCGGAGCCATGTGAATAGGGAAGCCATTTCAGGGCAGTGGCATGGCGCAGGCGGGTAAGCTTGAAGGGGGAAGATCTGTTTACTCGGGAGATCTGAAGGTCTGGAGGTCAGGGGGGACCGAGGCACCCGCACCAGGCGATCTCCAATCAGCGCTGCCCGATTATCACTTAAGGCCACGGGCTATTCAAAGTTGGGGTTCAGATCCCCTCTGTACTATTAATATTACTATAAATATAAATTTTGAAGTATTTATTTAACTACTAGTTCGTGTACGTAGTAATAATTGAGAATTACTTCTTGGAAGAGCGGGAATTTATTGGAATACTAGATACAACAAGGTCAGTATAAGGAAAATCTCGCTATATTTTAGGCATTCAGTAATTTGAGATTAAATAAGAACCTTGGAATCATTTGTTAAGAAGCGCCTATGTAAGCCCACTATGGGTTGAGAGCCCTGGGGTAGATTAGATCAGCGGGGTCGCCGACCAATCCAGGCGAATGGCCTTAAGGTCTGCCTCCCAATGTCCCATCCACCACCTTTTCCAGATACCAAGCTGAAACTCACATCATGTCTACCAAACGGGTATGTCTTTCGATGTTCACCCCTGTGCCCTTCCATTCAAAGAAGAATGATATGCAAGCGAAGCTCTGGGTTTTCTACGTTCCAGCTAACCTTCTGCCTCAGATTGCATTTCGAGTCCACGGCACTGTACAAGGTAAGGATACATTGATCCACACCCAAATCCAACTCGGATTCCCATTCTATGCAGAATCTTCATGACTTATCTGTCATAGCTAATAATTAACCAGGTGTTGGCTACCGGTACGATCATTTCAACCGCCCGCCTCTTGCTTGAACTATGACATCATATTTGATACTCGAAGTATGACCACCAAACTGACCTGATATCTGATAGCGACTTCACCCAAAAGTGCGCCACGAGCCATGGCTTGAAGGGATGGTGCCGCAACACCACATGTGGCCGAGTGAGCTTTGTCTACCATCTATAACTGGGCGGATGATCGGACTAACCCGTTCCTACCTCTAGGTCGAGGGTGAAATTCAGGGCGAAGAAGAGACTGTCAAAAAGCTACTTCAGCAGCTTGATAAGGGCCCGCGAATGGCTCACGTTGTGAAGTTGGAAAAAAGGGAGCTGGAGCCCAAGGAGGGGGAGGATCATTTTTCGGTTATGCGAACTATGGAGTCTCGATATGCTTCTGAGGGTTGATCCATGTCTTTCAAATTTCTTCCTGTAAGCGCTCTAATGCCTACGGTGACTCCTGGAAGCTCAAGCAAATAAATGATTCAATATTCCACAGTATCTATTCTCCAGCTACGGCACTTACCTACTCAGCCTCATCACTTAACGACCATAATCTAGCCAATGTTGATGAATTTGACGGAGCACCTTGCCACGTGCAAATTGTTAAAAATGCAGAGACGCAATCCGAATTCTAGTTGTATGGCCGTACTGGTAGAATATATGTAGAATATCAAACCTCTGTGTAGTTTGTTCTCTCGTCATCATTGTTTTGGCTACAATAAGAAAACAACTCTAGGCGAACTCTGATGTTGTCGGCGAGCACCGGGGAGGAAAAGCTGTGCCTGGCTCGTGATCCAAAACAAGGCTGTAATCTGCCACCGGTGAGGTCAACAACAAATCCCGAAAAACCGGCGGCGTCTGAAGCCGATATTTTCTCGGGAGGCCGTGACTCAAATGTGCTCGTTCGGAGGAGTTCGTGGTTGCTGGCAGAGAAAAGTCCCCGACTCTTCCCGAGGTCACCTGCTTGGTCAGATTCAATCTTACCGTAATCGGATGACGGATTCCGGTCAGGAACCGCAACTGTAGACTAGTTGAGGGATAATGAGAAGACGTTTGGAATTGATTCTTGTTCGAGGGAGTCAATTCCAAACAGGGAATATCTTCTGTCGGGTCCGATGGTCACTGGCATGCATCGGAGCCGCAGGCGGGGGACCGCGATGCGGTGGGGCTGACATGCGGCTAAGCTCAAAGTATGTATATGTATGTATACTATAAATACAAAGGAACTATACGAAGAATACCGTAAATCCCGTAAAGGAGGCACCGGCTGGCCAATGAACCGGCGGGAATGTCATCATTCCAACGCCAGGCACAGCCGCGTTCCCATCCCTGGGTCAATAACTGCGTTGGTAATCGGGATCCAATTCGTATCCCGGACTTGGCCTGCGGAAGAGAATTTTTATTTTATTTTATTTTTTTTCTTTTATGACTTGAGTCATATAAAAGGCCTGGGGTCTGTGACGCTGCCCAAAATCACTACTTCAATATTATCTGGTACATTCAAAATACTACATTCCTAACACCTACCACACCTAAAACATCTTCACCACTTGAATACACACAACCACCTCCAACTTATGAATTCACTATCGACCATCTCCTCGACGCCCCTTCGGGTGGCAGCGCGATCACAATCATGCTTCTACTTGGTTGCACGGGCCTACTCAGGCGTCGCAACCTCCTCCCTACCTAACTGTTATCGAGTGAACAAACGCCCCTCGCCAGTCACCTACACCCCCAAACGCCTCATCTCGTCGACCCAGCAGAAGCAGATCAAAGAATACTTCCCACCACCACAAACTCCCGGCGTGAAAGAGGTGGAATCGGCATGGGCACATCCTGTGTAAGTTGTCCTGGATCGTATTACTCCCTTGATGACAACCAAGCTGACCCAAATTTTAGTTACAATGATTCGCAGATGCGCAGCATCCAGATTGCCCATCGGAACGCAACGAATTGGTCCGACTGGGTAGCCCTGGGCACCGTCCGTATATTTCGCTGGGGCATGGACTTTGCTACGGGATACAAACACCCGGAACCAGGCGAGACACTGCAAGCCAAGTTTGTCATGACGGAGAAGAAATGGCTGGCCCGATTCGTCTTTCTCGAGAGTGTTGCCGGCGTCCCCGGCATGGTGGGCGGCATGTTACGACACTTGCGCAGTCTCCGACGAATGAAGCGCGATAACGGCTGGATCGAAACGTTGCTAGAAGAGGCATTTAACGAGCGCATGCATCTATTGACTTTCCTCAAACTTGCCGAACCGGGATGGTTCATGCGTGTCATGGTTCTCGGAGCCCAGGGCGTCTTCTTCAACGGATTTTTCCTGTCCTACCTCATTTCACCTCGGATCTGCCACCGTTTTGTGGGATATCTCGAGGAAGAGGCGGTTATTACCTACACCCGGGCCATCCAGGAACTTGAAGACGGCAAGCTTCCTGAATGGGAGACTCTTGAGGCACCCGAGATTGCGGTACAATACTGGAAGATGCCGGAGGGCAAGCGCACGATGAAGGACCTGCTCTTGTATGTCCGTGCCGATGAGGCCAAGCACCGCGAGGTCAACCATACCCTCAGCAACTTAATCCAATCGACCGATCCCAATCCCTATCAGACCAAGTACCGGGATCCGAGCAAGGAACACCCGAGTAAAGGGATGGAGAATTTGAAGGGAAGCGGATGGGAGAGGAAGGACATATTCTAAGAGCAGTGCATTGCAGTGCATCACAGTGCAAAGATCAGAGAAGGAATACTCGTATGTAACTACTGCTATTACTATTACTGAAGCATGGAACATCTCCACTCCAACACGCGCGGACCAGCCCAAAAGGTTGTGGACGCGGGCACCGGCTAAACCCGTCCGGGCGGCAACCCACTTACTGCTTGCCTCTGCTATTTACTATACTTCATATGTTGTATGTTTATAGTGCTTCAAGCTTAGGGGAAAATCAAAGGCGAATAGCTGGACTATTGCAAAATGAAAATTCCCAGAAATCAGGACCCTAAAAACATCACCTTGACACTCATTCCTAGACATCCAGATTAACAATTAATCAAACTGTGTAGCGTTGACCCGCTTTCACCCCCCTTTTTAGTGCCACCACCCCTTTTGGCCTAAAGAAGTTTCTCGACCGGCGATCTTCCACTTCTCATTAAACCTCCGAATTGGCGTTGGCCGTGCGACCAGACCGTTACCAATTGCGATTCTTACTTGTCATTCCTCGAATCTCGATCCTGAAGCATTCCGCTTCCCCTCATACAATCCCCGATCTTCGGTCCCGCCGTGTGTACCTCAAAAAAAGATACTTCGGAAACCTTGGGAACCTCTTTGTGTGGCCAGCTGGTGCAACAACAGTTTCAGATCATTCCGCCACATCATGGAAGAGCCGCAGTCTGTCGACGTTGAATCGGTCTCGGTCTCGCCTCCAGTCCGGGCTTCTTCGCCATCTCCCTCCATTCCAGCTACGCCGGCCATCTCCTCATACTCCTCTCCAGACCGCACCTTCTCCTCCGTCTCCTCCCATTCCGCCTCCTCCGCAACCTCGGCCGATGCTCGCTCGACCGTTTCAACATCATCCCGTCGTCATGGATACATTCGCGCCTTTGGAGCCGAGTTCTCCGAGTCCGCTCGACACCGTGACAGTGTCATGAGTCTGGGCAGCATTGCCCACCTACAATACTATTTTGCTCGAACTGGTCTATTAGATGGAAAGACCGGTCGAGGCAAAGAATCAAAGAAGAAGAATGCGGAGAACGTGCCTCGGGTGCTGATCACCCCCAATGAACGACACATGGACGACCTGACAGCCAGCCCGACAGAAATGGTCGAGTCTCCCGATTTCGACCCCAGCATGGAAGACGAAGAAGGGGAGGTCATGCTTCCACCGACAGTCAGTACCTACAGCATTAAGACACACCATATTGCACCACCGCCAGATCTACACTCCCTGCGTCGGGACCTGCAGAGAGCGCTAGACAAAGCAGATTCCAACATCGAAGCCATTGAGAACGGCGCCGAGCCCCAATCCCGAGATTCACTCCGATCCAGTCTTTCCCCAAGCGATATCCCCGAATCCCTGGACGACGAGTCCTCGAATCAGATCCCAACCCCGCAAACAAAGGAGGAAGCGCAAGGAATGTGCATCCTGGACGACGTGACCAATGCAATCCGGGCGGCGAAGATTTACTACACAACCCACGAACACCCCGAACGCCTAGCGTCAATCAAAACGGAGCGGGATATCCGCAAGGAATTATTCCACGTTCTTGATGTACTAAAACGCTGGGCTGCACGGCACTTTGCCAGCGGACTCCGCGATGAGGAACGCGACGCTATCAAAGGCTGGATCTCGGGTGTCCGCACCATGCTGGTCCGGGAGAAGGCCTTGGAGGACCTGGAAGCGCAAGAGCGGGAGAATTGGGATTGGGCCCGTGGCGACTGGACCGGACGCGAGCGATCCCGCGAGGAGTCTTTCCTCCGCAGCTTGATGCCTGGTGGTCACACTCTGCCGGAGTGGACTCCGGTCATGGAAGAAGAGGAAGGCATCGAGCCGGCCCCGACTGCATTCCTTGACCGGTTCCGCGACGGTCGGATCTTGGTTCAGTTGCACAACATCGCCGTCAAGAAATCCAAGCGGCCTTTCGGGGAAATTAAAGCCTTTCATCAGGATATCGCCAAGCCCTATCGGCAAACGGAGAATCTGCGATACTGGGTGAAAGCCGCGGAATTGCGCTGGGAACTACGCTTGGTGGTGGATGTAATGGGCGTGGTCCAGAGCAGCACGGTTGTGGCCTGGAAACAATTCGACGCGGCGCTGTTGGCCTGGTGCAAGACCGTTCGCGAGGAGCTGGTACGAGATTGGCAAGCGGCCAACCCCGGACGACCCCCTAGCGCTGGTCTGATTTGAGAAGAACGGTCTCAATTTCTCTCTACCTCCCTTCCTCCCCTCTCATATTTGCATCTCGGTTGTTTCCTATTTCATTCAGCTTTCCTTTTTTCTTCTTCCCCCTTTCCTTGTCTTTTTATTTTCTCATACTCGGGCAATTGGCTAGATACCCCTGGACAGTCTCTCCGACTGTTCTGCCCATCTCCGCATCTGGTGTTGGGTTCTTCATTTCTTTTTACATTTTCTTCTCATCGCCGATTGCCAGTCCTGTTCGGGATTGCGTTGCATATTGTTTTCTCACTGTTTGTACCTTTGCACCGCATAGACGAGACGACGCCTAATTGATCCACATATTATCATTGCATGGAGACGGTGCTCGAACCTGTGGAGAATTTAGAGGCATCACGGAACAGCGTTGGGCCCGCGTCCGCTATGGCGCTAGGGCGCAACGGTGCTGATCTGCGCCCCTGAAATAGTGAAATACCTCGGAAATTTGAATCTGGGCCGAGCCCGTTGAGTAATTTTGGAGGTCCTAGCAGCATCGAAGTAGTGTCGCCACGTGCTTGTCTGATGATCGATAATTACTACATACTACTCGTGGACTTAGTAAGGTACTGGCTTCATTTACTGCGTCCTGCTTGTGGAAACTATATTACCAAACTAGTTATACTTTACATACATGCATGGATCAGTATTATGAAAATACAATTTAGTTCCAAGGTTATCAACTAAACTATAAAGTAACTTGAATGAAATTGGACTTCCAGTCTCAGAACGCCCAGCTGGCCTGGCATAGGATTTCTCTTCCGAGACTAAACATTTTGACCGTGTTTTCATTCATGAGGCTGTATAGCAATGGTATGAATCATGCATAAGACACAAGGTGGCGTCCTGTTGAAAGAGATCCTCATTGTTGCTCAGAAGTACGAGCAGAACTTGAACGCTTTCAAATTTGGGATTATACAGTAGAAGTACTAGTATACTAGTTAGTAGTAGTATTACATTTCCCCTATCATTGGACCTCCCGGGCGTATTGTTTACCTATACCCAACCTTGGAAGATATTAGTATTAGTACTACTAAAACTATTGTTTATCACTCAAGTTATGGTGATTGAATTGATACAGTAGTCCTCCGTAGTGAGCCACTGCATAAAGTACTCTGTAATAGTCAGATCGCCGTGCCGATCGCCGCAATTACATACCGAGGGGAAGCGGTACCTGAAAGCCCCATAGTAAATGGGCGGAGTCGGAGGTACCTCAATTACCTCCGGTACCTGAGGGTACCCTTTCTTGCAGAGCCACTTCAATACTCCGTACCTGGCCACTTCATCCCTCGTTTCTTGTCTCAACTTCCTTACCGGTTGCTGCCCAATTTCGCCTGCTACTTTCATTCAGCTGGTCATGTAGCCTTTGTTCTCTCTCTCAACCTCTTCCAACTCCCCCCTCCCCCCCAAAAAGAACTCAGAACGATAGAGCCTACGTGGAAGGAGATTACTAGGAACGAACCCTTTTCACAGCCCGGGGGCCTTTACACCGTACCGAACGAGAACACGAAACATTCCTTGCCCATCCCTGCCTGAATTTGAATCGCCTTTTCGACCCTCTCAGCCTTTTTCCAACCGCCCCCCCCCCGGGGCCTGTCCTCATGCATGCCACAGTTGACGGTCCAACTTCCTCGGCGACTGACATTGCGCTGTCCCCCAGCACGTCCGCTCTGTCCGCATCTCCTCCCCCGCCGTCTCCGGCTCCCCCAATGAACACGGACCTTCCCCTCTCCGCCGTCTAAAGTCCAAATCGTCTCTTTGGAGTATCGGCAGCAGCAATCAAGACGACGAACCTTTCGCAGAGCCTACCAGCGCCGAGAAGAATTCTAAGCCGAGCATCTTTCGTCGCTTATCGCCCGCCCTCGCGGCTCGGGTGAAGCTATTGGACGGCAGCTCCAAAAACAATAACAACAACCGTAACGCCGGCGCGGTTGGTCGGATCCCGGAAGAGCATTTGAAGGAGCTGGATAACTTGCACCAGGATTTGTCCATCAAAGTTGAAAGGAGAGGTCAGGCGTGGGCTGGCCAGGTGCCCACAACACCGGACGAAACACCGACCCAAAAGCGCACCGCGTCAAACAGGCTAGAGTTACCCACTCTTGATCTCCTTCAGAAAGTCTCCGACGCGCGTGCGGAGGGCTCAGAATACACCGACGTCGTTGTCGACCTCCCAGAGCCACCTGTTGTCGCCGCTGCCTCTCCTCCGCCTCCGGTGGCTGTTTATGATCCTCCGAACAACCCACCACCGACGTCCATGTCTGTCGCGGAGCCCACTCCCCTCCCCCTCCACCTCAGCTGGGTGCTGGTCCGGAATCAGAAGCGCCCCCTGGAAACGCTGGGCCACAGGATACACGTACCGACTTTGAGAAATATGTTGATGACACCAAGCGCAGCGAGGAGCAGTCCGCTCCTTCACCCCCGCCAAAAGACTCCCCGCGCGGCCACACTTATAGCCTCTCCTCTTCCTCCAACCCACAGTCATATTTCAATGCGACGAATTCACAGCGCCCCGAATCTATATACTCCTTCTCCCGCGCCTCCTTCAGCAACCAACTCTCACAGCTTACTTCCATACCACTCCCTCAACCTGCGGCGCTCGAAACGAGTATAACGAATATCCAAACCGCGCTTCTAGCGGTTCGCGCACTGAACGGCCACGCAGACCAAATCCAATTCTGGATCAGGAAAGCATTCGATGTGCTCAGTGGGCTGGATTCCGAGGATGATGTGGAGTGGGCAGCAGCAGGTGGCCGAGAAGGCCTTGAGGGAGTGGACAAGGCTATCACCCGATTTGAGTCTTTGGTCAACGTCTATGTGAGCGCTATCGAGAACGTGCAGCTCCGAGACGACATCGCCACTGTCGACAACGAGAACTTGAAGACTATCGTCAGTCAGATGGAAAGCATTTTGCAAAACTGGTCGCAAATCAAGAGCAAACTCAGAGGTGTGAAGCAACAAGTAGAGTTGGCCATGGAGTGGGAAGAGCTTTGGTCCAATGTACTTGGCGATGTGGGGATGGAGATTGACAACCTCAGTGGAATGATTTTCGAGATGGAGGAGAAGCGACACGAGGCTCTAATGGGCAACGGTCCGGAAGCGACAGGCGGTGTTGACATCAACGAGCTTGAGACAATAGTAGAAGAATCTCCGTCCAAAGGCCGGTCGCACTCTCACAGTCGGATGAGTCTCGGCGCTATCATGGCGAGCGCTTCTAATACGCCCATCATCAAGACCCCTCAGGACGACTCGACCTCCAATCTCATGGCTCTATTTGCGCGCATGCAGCCTCTTCGTGCCTCCCTGGATTTCTTGCCAATGCGGCTGTCTATGTTTCAGTCCCGAGCTAACAAGATTTTCCCGAGCGCCTGCGATGAGCTGGATGACCGACGAGAGCGTCTAGAGAAAAGCTTCCAGGTTCTACAAACTGACTCCGAGGCGCTACAAAAAGAACTTGGCGAGGACAAGTGGATCATGGTGTTCCGCAATGCGGGAAGTCAGGCGCAGAAGATGTTTGAATCTGTGGAGCGCAGTCTTTCTAAACTTCAAGAAGGATTGGAGACAAACGCGCCGGTCAACGATCCTGCGACGTTTGTCAAGCGAATGGATACCTATGAGACAAAGAAGACGCACTACCTGCCTGCAATTGAGCGCGTGATCACCATCATTCAAAAGGGTATCAATGACCGTCTGACCCTAAATGGTGAGGTCCTACGGCTGCTATCTGATATGAAATCACGAACGGATGCTCTCAAGGCCAGTGTTAAGGTGATGGATGCGTCTCTGGAAGACGTCCAGATTGCCAGAGGTTCACAACTACGTGATTCCATATCAAGTATAGTCACGGTGGATAGCCCAGCTGCAGGCAGTGCCATTGACACCCCCGGAAGTTCACCTGCATCGTCTGTCATTCTCGGGGGCAGTTCATATAAAACACCGCTGGGTGGTTCAAGTCGCCGCGAAAGTTCCGTCGGCAGTGCCACGACACGCTCAACTATGTCCAATGTTCGAAGGTTTTCGGGTCTACCACAGCCACAAACTACGGGACGTAAGTCTGCTATTCCCGTCCCTTCGGGCATGGGTTCTCCGCCACCGTCCAAGCACAGCTATGCAACCACCCCGACGCCAGCAAGTCGCAGATTGTCTCGCACTCCGCAGCCACCGTCCACGATTCCCAACCGGCCGCGGTGGAATCCTAGTGTTAACACGCGGGACGTGGATACTGGTCACAACTATAAAACTTCTACCGGCTATCGAAACTCATCTGCTCCAATGCGCACACCCCGGCCATCATCGACTATGGCATTCCGACGCGATATGTCTGCTTCTCCAGCTCCTGGCGCTGGACCTGGCGGTCGCTCGATCAGTCGTCTTTCCAGTCGCCTGGCCTCGTCATCCCGAAGTCCTTCACGGAATATCTCCTCTCCTACCCCCGCTAAATCCTCACTCCTCGACCCACCTCCCTACAGCCGACTTCGTCGAACCTCCGGTGTCTCCAATACATCCGGCATGTCAAACACACCACGCAGTCGGCAAAGTTTCGCCGGAGTGAGCTCCTTCAGCCGCAGTGTATCGGCGGCCCAAGAACAAATGGACAGTCCGACAAAGTCCACCCGTCCTGGTACTGCATTAGGCCATTCCGGAAACAAGCGCATGAGTTTGCTGCCCTTGCCGACGCCGAAGGAACGCACCGCTGCGCAGAAGAGGCTTGATGCACGACCACCATGGCGAGCATGATGAGCTGAATTCCCTTGCTGTTGCTGTTGCTGTTGCGGTCGCTCATCCTTACACTTGACAGTATACATCATTACCAATCCTCCTTACTCCGATTCCTCCCTCATCCTCTAAATACTCTCTCCCACCTCCACATCCTGTATCAACCTGTTTTTGTGTCTTTTTTTGGCATTATGCATTCCACCTGCAGCTTTGATTTTGCTCATTTTTAAGCTGGTCAGGGTGCGAAGCATGATTTCTTGAGGGTTCGGTTTTGCGTGATATCCCCATTATTTTGCATGGTATGGTTTGAGCGTTGGGTATTAAATTTGTTTGCTTTCCCGGGTTTCTTTGTACTTGTACTCGCGCTTGTTGCTCTTTTGGTCGCTTGTTTAAATCATGGTTCTTTTTCTTCTTTCCTCTCATTTCCCTTCCACTCATGTGAATTTTTATTTTCCTCTTGTAGTTTACCCTTTCTCTCGGTAGTGGAACCTAGATCCTTATTATTTTCTAGACTTGAATTCAAGTTGCTTCGTTTCATTGGACCTGCATGCCTTTGATAGACATTTCATCACGCGTTCTATACCTAGGTACTAGTATATGGGCGTCAAGACTCCAACTACCCTTCAAATTACCCCCCCTCACATATCTTGTCAGGGAATTACTGATCAGGGTCAGTTCCCAAGCTCCCTTCCAAAAATCAATGCATCGACCAGTTCTTCACTGTTGGCCAGGCGTGCGGCCTTGGGCACCCGTCCAATCACATTGAATCCAAGCTTCTCCCAGATCCGGATGGAGGCTGGGTTGTTAGCGAAGACCAGGTTGAAGACGGAGTAAGTGTATCCCTAGAAGCAAATTGAATGTCAGAGGGATATTTTTCCTAGTGAATTCTGAAGCTAGCTTTCAACTTGAAAGTTCTTACCAATTGAGGCGCAAATTCGAGATATGTTTCGCCCATGACTTGTCCAACACCCTTACCGCGAGCTGCATTGGTAGTCATGAAACCCGCATTACAGATATGCGAGCAGCGGCCTAGTCGATTCAAATGTAGTTAGTAATTTAGCGAACTTCCATTTCTTTTTCTTTCGAATGATAACTCCATTTGATTTGAATACTTGATGGGACTTGAGGAACCCAGTGCACCGACTCACCAGGATAATTCGGCTTAATATAAAACGTCCCCAAGCAAACATCCTCCCACCTCCTCCCCTCCCTCAACCCATCGCCAAAAGCTGCCCCCTCTTCATCCAACACCGCGACAACCGCAAAAGTCCCAAACCAATAATCCCGGAACTGATCCATGGCCATGGCCTGTTCCATTGGATACGTCGCGCCACGCTCAATCTCGGCGCTGAACTCGGCATGCAAAAATGCACTCAGATCCGCAGGAATACTCCCTGGTCCCTTGGTAATTGGATACAAGGTAACGCCGGCATTTTCAGCTTTGGGGAGAGTTGTTTGGCGTGGGGTGATCGTTAATGCGGCGCTGGTGTGTGCTTGTGGTGGGGGGATGCGGGTAGAGGGGTCTTCCAGTAGAGCTGGCATTTTGGAAAATAAAGTAGTTCTTGGGGAGAGTTGAGTTTTGAGAACGATGTTTAATCTGGTCAATTGCTTTGATCCAGATGATGGGCAATGGAACTTTGTATGGCTTTTTTGTGGGATATCCGGCTTGATAGAGCTTGCCCCGGTAATTCCGATTTCGGGGTTGCGGGGCGTTATGTAAGTGGGCTTCCGCCCTGTGGTTGACATCTTCATTTCGTTTGCTAGAGTGGAGATGCTAAGAACTTCATGTACTAGTAAATTAAACTTGAAATTGAAGGCTAAAACTTGAGATTTGTTTGCACCATTATACCTACTAGTACTGAAGCTTATAAGAGAATGCAGTATAACTATATTTGAAACTGGGTTTAAAATCTAAAATCTAGAGGTTGTCGCCTTGGAATCTGGTATACTATAAAAAAAGAGTAGAGAAGGAGATAGTATCTTTGCCCGAGGACAACGCGATTCTTTTATTATTCATGCTCAGGCTGGTTTGGGCAATGCAGTACAGCTTGTAGAGGCAGGAACAACCCAAGTCACTGCGACAAAAGTTGAACAGAAGGAACGAACAGTCCCACCACCTGGGCAACATAAATAATTAACAGTCTGCCTTTCTTCGCTTTATTTTTCATCCTCTTCAATATGTCCCGTGCAGTAAGCACCATAATCATCAGCAGCATGATGAGCACTACAGTCTCATATTATTCCATCATTCCCTCAGCTATTTTCCCGAAGAAATTACAACGATCACCGTCACCTAGACCGTGACCAACAAGATGAGGACCAGAACATTGCTTTTTCATCCCTTCTCTCCGCCTTTGTCCAGATGAATTTAACTTGATGTCTAGCACATTGGATGAACACACATGTAAGCGGCGCGACTAGATGTTGCGTTTTTTTTTTGTGGAAGACAAATTGTTCCGGCAATGAATATCAACTGATATAAAATCGTACAGAGGCATCGACACGAGTTCAGATTAGCGCATAGGAAAGCTTGCATTACCAGCCTTCGATAGTCAACATGAACTCTCTCGAAAGCCCTTCAGTTCTATATCTGTCCCCATATGTTGGCAGCAGTACTTGAATAGGATTATCAACGCCATACATGGTCTTAGGTAAGGACTCGGATATTCGAATTATCGAATCAGGTTATTTGTCTAACAATCTCGAGAGTGATAGCCCACCAGACGGGCCTGACTTGGTTGGGGTTCCGGATAAAGGGCCCTATCAACCCACGAGGAGGATACTCAACCCCCAATGGGGGAAATTTGGGTCGGCCTCTATCTCCAAGTTCCTTCTGGACCCCGTAGTTCACCAAGGCGTCCCGCTGACGAGTCTGTTTGACCTGATTGGCGCGTTTTTGTCGGTAAACAAGGCGCTACCTTCAGCAACGGCCCAAGACTTTTCCCTCCCAGTTCTGGGACTGTATGACAGATGGTGTAATGCGATGTAAGAAAGGGTACCTATTATGCTTCAAAGTACCTGGGTAAGTAAGGGCTTGGACAGGAGGCAATTTGCCTTAGGCGCATCCTGTTTTGGGTACCGTACTAAAGGAACAGAGGATTGGAAGAGGGTGGTTTATATAGGCCGGGCGTGTCAAAATTAATTGCCAAAGGAGATAATTTTGTAGCAATACAACAATGTATCTACGCCTGGATATGAACGCCGCTACAACATTCAAGTTAGTATTCCGTTATATCGCCACAGTCATCAACACCGACGACGAATCTGACAAACGTTCATTTGAAGTTATTGCACCATCCATGATTGTGGCCAAAGAGCTATATAGTACCATCTCTTGGGCTGCAGCACAGCTGTGTTTGACTAGTATAATTATAATAACTGCACTGTTGCGGTGATAGTAGTTAGTATCAAATCTCATAACCACAAGGACTTTAACAATTTAAAGATGCCAAGCCAGGTGTAGAGGTATCAAGCCCTAAAGAGTAGGTAAAAAGTTTAAAAATCGATTACATCGCTACATAATACAGAAGAGTGAAGATAGGAGCGCCCTCTCATTCAAACATGCATGTATAGTATATGTACAAGGCCTGGACAGACATCGAGAGATGCCCGCATCTCCCAGTAGCACCGAAGAGTTGCCCATGATAAGCCAATTTATTGCTTCTCGCCTTCACCATCATTCTCTGGGCTGCGAATAGCCTGCATCAGTTCGAATAGCTGTCCAAGTTGTTGATCTATCATATCCATTAGCAAATCAAGTCCAAATATCTGTGAGAGACATCATGGGATCCATACCGCTCAACTTGTCCAACTTCGACTTATCCAATTTCTCCCTGTCCAATTGTCGCCCTCCAGCTTCTGAGCATAGAGCTGCCACTCAGTCAAGAATCCGATCTGCCATTGCCGTTGTCAGCTGTGCCATACTCTCTAACCACAGTTCCTTAGCATCGATCGATGCACAAGGCTATCCCGCCAGCCCAGTATTGAAACGTACAATATGCAGCGGATTCTCTGCAGTTCGGTGTGCTCGGAACTCTTTCTTCACGTAGGAATCACCCAGGACGCGCATTTCGGGGTCCAGTTTGCGATGGACGCGGAGGAGCCGGCGGTACAACTGCAGCGGTGGGAGGAGTGCCAGAGCCTCGGTGAGACTGGACTTGGAGCCGATCGAGGCCGGCGTGGCCATTAGGAGACGATGAGCGAGACGCATCGCGAAAGGAACAAGCCGAATCGATTCACTAGAGAGGGTGACTGGCGCATGACATAATTGTTCTTGTTCTGGAGGCCGCGGTTCTTTTTTTGGGCCGAAAAAGGCGGCGAGGCGATCACCGCCCGCGTGTTTTTCAACTTCTCCGCCAATCGCATCACATCGCATCGCAATTTTTGAACCATTGGATCAACTTTACATTATCCGCCTTCTATGCTGGTTTGAATAACTGGTTAACCCAATCTGACGAATTTTGATTTGATTTGCTCGCTATATTCAGCCTCATCTACAACTACAAATATCAGGGCTGCCGTGTTGGCAGAGACAACACCATATCGCGGGGTTGTTCAGGTTTGCAGACCAAGAACCCTGGAAACAATTCAAAGTACAAAAGGTACTTGGCAAAATGCTTCCCACGCCAGACACTTCCCATGTCTCCTTTGACACCATCTACGAACCCTCCGAGGACTCTTATCTCTTTCTGGACACACTCGCATCAGCATCCGAGTCCCAATGGCTATCGGACCGATTCCAAACAGGCACATCGCCAGATCTTGCCTCTAGTGCTGTACCACTAGTTGTAGAGGCGGGTACAGGCTCCGGTGTCGTACTGGGGTTTGTTGCGGCACAGTCGCAGAAGATCTTCGGGCGACAAGATATCCTCACGCTGGGAACAGACGTGAACCGCAATGCCTGTATGGCAACACGAGAAACCGTATCCAGAGCCATCTCCGCAGAACAGCAAAGTTCAGAGGCCACCGCGCTCAAAACTATTCATATCTCATCATTAACGGGTGATCTCTGCTCACCTCTTCGACCTGGCAGCGTTGACGTTCTTCTTTTCAACCCACCTTATGTTCCAACCGACGAGCTGCCACGCCTACCAACAGCATCAGAGAATGATCCCACGTCATTGAAAGGAATGTCAAGCTCTGCTAGGTTCGATCAGGACTCTTATTTTCTTTCGTTGACCTATGCGGGCGGCGCGGATGGAATGGAAACGACAAATCGATTGCTGGATGCTATCCCCGGCATTTTGTCAGACCGTGGAGTCGCATATGTGCTGCTTTGCAAGCAAAACCAACCTGAGGCTGTGAAAGAGCAGATTCGTGGCTGGGGCGGCTGGGATGCTGAGACTGTTGGCTCTAGCGGGATGCAGGCTGGCTGGGAAAAGTTAGTTATCGTTCGAATTTGGAGAAGCCAGAAACCTTAGCGAGCAGAAGGTTTCTGTTTGTTTAAGGATGCGTGACATCATGCAGCTTGTCGTCTCTCTTCGTGACATCGGCACTTGCAAGAGCCGGAAAATTTAGACCTTGCTCTTTCCTTCGAGATGTACGGAGTACGGCAAACCATGACATTTCAATGGTTTGTTGATCTGAACTGCATTCCCGACTGGGGATAGTATCGACAGCGGTATTGCATTTTTTTACACTAGGGGCATTTGGTGTGTTATTTTTTTCCTTACAGAAGAAGATGGGTGATGGCGATGACCCCGAACCTATCATCTTTGGCCCGTGGCGTGGCTTATCTGCCACGCCTTTCCTCAAACTCAGCCCCAACGCCCGGCTATTCCGCGGCGGCCCCATCGGCGACTTGAAGACAGCGTGGATGCGGCATTATTTAGCATCAAGGGAGAAATATCGTTCGACCCCGGGCAACATTTCGACCCACATCGCTTTCTTTGCTGAAAGCAGATTGCGCCCTCAAACCTCGCCCCTTCTCTGTGACGGTGAATGAAACCCCCAAGACATCTCGGCCCCGACCACGACCTCGACCCCGGGACGAGGGTAGTAGTATCTATTCCCAGCTGGCTGGTAACAGCCCCAAAAACGAAGGACGAGGCCAACAACCAACAACCAACAGACAGGAGACAAGTGATAGAACTTGAGAATAGCCCCAATGGGGCATCTGTTCTACGAATACGAATACTCCGTAGTATGAAGTGCAATGCCTATTAAAACCTACACCTCCAGGAGGAAATTCTTGTTCAAATGCTCCTCGTAATTCGTGTTGCGGAGCAGTGAATTCGTTTTGAACGGACGAATGATTTCACCTCCAAAACCGCTTGAACTTTAATTGATTGCATCGATGATCCTTCCCGTCAGTCGACTGCGGCGGGCTCCAGGGTCACCCGACGCCATGGTTCATGGACTTGGCCCTGATAGTGGCAGTAAGGAGTAATCGGTGATTTCATAAACGGAATTGCCCCGTCCAGCATTGGTTGTATGGGTTGTGATCAACAGTGGCGCCATGTGCCGTCGCCTAACTGACCGCTTCGGGCATATGAGGAAGACACGCTGTCCCGAGCTTCGATCCACAACCTTTTGGCCATGCTCAAATAGGCATCCGGTGCACCCAAGAAAGACCCTTGATATGCCAATTTACTCCATACATACGAAATACGGAAGCGTAGACCCGGGGAAATCTTCATAGTTTCCGATCGTCGGACGGGAGGGGCGCTGAGAACCACTTGGGCCACAACGATCCTGTCATTTGACCGACCAGAGATTGAAAATCAAGGAAAGGGGGAGATGTTCGTGAGCTTGATACTTGAGGAAAGTACAAAGTGGAGCAGAGCACATACTGCTTCAGGTTTGAGCTCACAACAGGGGAAGTTGGGATCTCAGTTATGGGTACTCCGTACGGAGTACGTACGAAGTAGAATCTGACACACGAGATGATGAGAACGTGGAGCATGGAGTGGCACGCGTCAGCTGCAAGTTAAACTAACCAGACTCTTCGGCTGTAAGTTCGTTCGGACATGGACCGCCCATAATTAACGAGAAGGGCAAATTGGGGTCGAGGCCAATGAAAATCACCCATTAATTATCCTGAACCGAAGCCTCCCCCCACCGGCCTGACTCGTGGATCAATAAGGCTGGTGCCGTGTTTCCTGCTCGAGCTAGCTGTGAAGTTATTTGATCCAATTTTCTTTTCGCGGAGGGTGGCCGACATACTCCGGATAATGGATATCGTTAGTAACTTTCGGCTCATCTTACTACTACCGGCATGCTCACTTGACAGTACATAGCTGCATGTGTACATAAAAATTACTAAACCAAAGATTAAGTTCTTAACCTCCGAACTTGAACCTTGTGTTGAACGCTTGCCCGATTTGGGCATTTCTATTTACACGCTTTCAACTGAAGTTGATTAAGAACGCCAGCTTTGTTGATCCTGAAACCTTGATATTGTTTTTCTCCCCGAGGAGTCCCCGAGGTAAAAGGATGCCAGTTCAAGTTCGCTCGATTAAGACAAGAAGGCCCACAGACGCTTGTCTCATGACAGGGTCCATTTCTCCTGATCTCCATCCCGATCGACCAACCATTGCTCTTTTGGAACAGCATTCCGAAAAAATGGTCTTGGCCTTGCGACGACCATGCAGCACCAGCTCCAAACACAGATGCGGCGAGAATTTCCTAAGGCTTGGCCCCAAACCATTAAGTCCTGCTCTGGATCGTCGCTTAGTAACTGCTAAGATCTAGATCTCTTCTCGATTCGAGCGCCATGAAGCCCCGGAAAGGAAGCGCCCTAGCCTTGCAGTTCGTGATATACCGGAAGTTCGGAATTAAAGGCAGTTATGACTACTAATGAAGCCAAGACCACATTAGGCCCAACCAGTAAACCGTCCACTGGGTACGTAGTACGTACTTGTAGTAATACTTCGCATCTCATTCTGGTAAAACTAGTGGCCGCCGTTCCACCTGGCTTTCCCCTCAAACCTTGGCCTAATCTACCAAATTCCGCCCCTACTGCTAGGGAGATTCCCGATTGTCTGGAACCTGGCCCCATTTGATCCAGAGTGGCTTCCTGTCTAGACCGACCATCATTCAGCTTTTGGCCTCCATTATTTCAATGCATTGAGACAAACAAAGTCTTGTGTCATTGTGATCGCGACGCCATAATATGAGGAGAGAAAAAACACCTGATAAAGTTGCTATTATACCCCACCCCCCAACGGGCCATTCCATACGGAGCACGGAGTTGGAATAATCTGCAGCTGAGCAAGATCGAGTTGTGAATGGCGCGACGAAGATCAAAGCCCCCAAAGTATGTAGCGGCAGGATTTCATATAGCCAATAGACTGAAAATATCACCACAAATTATGCGAGAATGGCTTAAAACATCTGATGTGTTCATCATTGCCAGGGATCGGTCTGGGCAACCGCCAGGCCCCATTTGCCACACTAATGCGGGCTTGTTAATCCGGCAGTACGTGGCGGGGGCCAAAATTGACAGGGATTCCCAGTACGGAGTATACTACGGAGTATTTACAAAGGGATCCACGGAAAGGGAGATCGACGTTCTTTCAGAGATCCTGTATGTGACCAAAAAAAAGAACGTTCATGGAACGGTAGATCGAGAATTATACTCTTTGCAATCGAGAGACACCATTCACGAAAACGTACGCAAGAAAAAAGAAGAAGAAAAACGAACAAAACGACAAAATGCGAAGGCCGCGTGTATACGTTCAAGTTGATATCTGGAGAAGGAAGGCTCTGGAACCGGGGAGCCACTATGTGGAATATTGCGAATAGCAAATCCCGTAATTCCTACTTCAAAGGCCGGCGGCAGTCTTAGCCGAAGATCTGCGAAAATGGGGCCAGTTAGTAGGCAACTACAATATTTCGGGGTCCGAAAGGGCGTCGAGACACTTGAGATTCAAGAATAGCTCGGTTGAGTACTGATATGCTTGGGAAGACGGTGATGTCGGCTGTCCAAGCGAACATACCTCACCTGGGACCAACCTGTTATTGGACCGTGCACATGCCCGAGTAGGTCGATGACTTGCGAGGATGGTGGGGAGTCATTGTTATCATATTACAATGCACTGGGTCCTGGGACCCATCCCGACCTTAGTTCGTACAGCCCTGGTGTTAGTAGTAGTGCTTTTCGTTTTACATGTTGATGTATTCTAGAACGGTCGAAACTTGGCAGGTGGTCTTTTCAGCAAAACTACCTACATCTTGAAGCCAGAAGAAGTTTTAATTCAGCCAGCTTCCTCGAGCAAGCAAAATAAGTCTCAGTCTATACCCCGTAATTTTAGGATAAGATGCAGGCCAAACAAAAAGCAAATATCGAAGAAGTGAAGCAGTTATACTGATAGTAGAATAATGCGTCTTGGAAACATTGTATCGGGTACTCTGTACTCAAAATATCATTTAGCCGCACCATCCATCCTGTCCCCTATTTGCAATGCTAAAGACTTTAGCTACTACTCTTCTCTACGGAGTACAGAGGACGGAATTCATCCATAGATCTTGACCCTTACCCCCTTTAAGCTCTCTCGACCCGCAGGATTCGTCAATCCAGAAAGTGCCATATGATCATTCGCCAGTCCTAACCTTAGTGCGCATAGTACATCGCACAGCGCTTTGAAGACCGGCCGTATCGCCCAGCGAATCATTTGTCACTTCATAGACAGGTTCTAGCAGCAAAGAAAAAAAAGAAGAGGTCACACACAAAATTGGGATATTTTAAATAATAGAAGTGTTGCTTTTTCTTTCACACACCCAATTGAAAGAAGCCCGGGGGTAACAAATGACATCCCATGATCATGCAAAGTGAAAAAGGAACCAGATACTTCGAAGGAAGAAACAAACGCCGGTCTGTACTCTCAGAAAGAATAAGAAGAAAAAAAGATCTAGAAGCCACGTCCCCGCCCACGGCCGCGGCCACCGCCGCGGCCTCGGCCTCCACCACCCCGGGGACCACCACGGCCGCCGCGTCCACCACGGTCAGCCTCCTTGCGAGCCTTATTCTTGGGCTTGGGGGCGTCGTCAACGAGGAGTGTATCCAGCGGCAAGCTGTCGGGAAGAATGTAGTAACGAATGGTAGAGCCACGAATGTTGATAGTGTCGAGCGAGATCGGGTCACGGCCCTTGGGGGTCATCTTGACGGTTCGAAGCGAGGTGTTCATCTGCGGGGAGACTGAAGTGATGGTTCCGTGAAGGATTGTGCCTATGGGAAGCCTTGACGTCAGCAAATCAAGCTTACAATTGGCGGTGGGCAGAAAGCCCGAAGCTGTTCAGGTATGTCGCGAGGTCGCGGTCACGAAGAGTTGGTGGTCTGCACGTACCATTCTTGAGCTCGATAGTCACCGTCTCATTGGCGCACTTCATCAAAAAACTATAAGGTTGATCAGCAAGCAGCTCCGACGGAAAAAAAGGATGGTCGCGAATTCCAGCGCGCATGGCGTGTGGATAGGACGCGGGCTCGAATGATGTCGCATTCCACGTACCGGACGAGCTTCATAGTGGCGATTTATGCACACGAGTTTATTTGAAGGTCGAAGATGGCACGCAGCAGCTCACAGGGTTGGTGGGGATGTCCGTGTGGCAGACGCGGATATCGATGCTGTCCGCCGTGCAGAGTCGGCGGTGCTCACGTGATACGACAGATGCTGCATCACGTGATCTCTGCAGGGTTCACAGTGCAGCCGGCCAGTCGACTGGTCAACTGGTCAACTGGATCGACCAGCCAGGCTTCTTGCTTTGCCACTGGTCATCCCCCGGTATTCTCAATTGCTTGGTCTAACGACATGTTTGGGTCGAATATTCATATATATCCTTGCAAATAGGCCGATCTATTAAGCCAAGAACGAGAGGTTTCTTTCAACTGCCCTCGCAGAAACCGGCCTTTATCAGAGTATTTACCTCCGAGTTTACACCTCATAGCCTACCCACGATCTCATGAGATTCATATCAGTTCAAATAAACGGCTTCTTCTTGGTTGATAGGCTGTATTTGTGGAACTCCATTGCCATCGGCAATACTACAGTCTGCACTAGCTATGTATGTATATCGTGGAAACGATCACCGGTACCCACCTAGAATCTCTCAACTCTGGCAGGCGGAAATGTAAACCAACCTCGGTGTCACTGGCCTGCCAATGGATCTATATACACCCCCAGGTCGATATAACGACCTGGATGCATACATACAAGGACAAATACCATATTGGGGTCGCGTCGACTGACTGAATTCGGTTAAGTTCCACTTTTATAGGTTCGGCGGGCCCACAGAGGCGGACGGGCAGATCCAGTGCGGGCGTTGACCGATGTGTCAGTTTGCATAAAGCTATGGATTGGTTTTGGGAAAGGAGAAGGTTGGATGCATTTCAGTTCGGTTCCCACTCAAGCGCCAAGCCGATGCTGATAAGGCTGCCATGCAAGGCTCGCGACGAGTCGGCATCGACAATAATCACGTCCATGGTGCATTGATGCACCTAAATTGATTGACTTTGCAGGTCGGAAAGAACCGCACGAGTGATTCAACGGGGTGGGCACGGAGACGGAAGTGTGCCATGCACAGAACAGACCAAAAAGGACGGCGACATCGAGGGGATCTTTCCATGTGGAGAGCGTCCGGTCGATCGCGAGTCATCCCTGGAGCCACATCCCCGGAACCCTTCCTGTCCATGACAAATATCTCCATCCTTAACGCTAGCTTCTAAGACGGCGTCACCTGCTCGCTACTCGTACGTTCAACTTGGCCGCAAGGCCCTTCTTTTCGGTCATTGACTCGGTACCGGCACTTTGGGTATCTCTGACCTGGCTCCACTCATCGGCGTTATACGGCTTGACGCAACAAACACATGGATCGTTGTCTAAGAAGTGCCAGAAGCCAAAAAGGTCGTGGCTTTACCCTTGTCCTAAGAAGTGATGCTTTGCGAACCTGATCAAGGCTTCATCCCAAGAGATCCGCAACCAAACTCCGAACCGCCATAAAAACCATCAGTCAACAAGCAGCTAGCTCAGAACATGCAAAATAAATGCCCCATTGCTGCCTTTTACTCGCCGTCATTTATTCTCGGTGATCACAAGCTTCTTATCCGCGAATGTTGCCATTCCAGCTTTGAGACATGGCCCGATTGGCTTTGGACGGTTTCCAAGACTCCGCCACCAACGCCTAGGGGGATAGTTCTGATCATCCCGGGCCCTAATGTTTCTAACGGCGCGTTCGTGGGGAATGGGGCCAGGAAATTGGAAATGAAGGACCAAAACACTCTGCCCAAAAAAAATATTACCTGTTTCCCCAAAAGGGAGTTCCCAAATCTAGGCTTGGCTAGTCTAAATTTTATTTTCCTTTATTTTTTTTATAGTTTTATCATCTTACTTCTAACTTCTTTTTTTGCCTTTTTTTCTTTTTTTCCTATTTAATTTTCTTCTGATGGATCGTCGAATGACGGCCTCTCTCCGGTGCGACTAACTTTTTACCACAGAATCGCCAGCCATCCACATGAGGCCTGCGTCTCGGCCCCCAAACTCCTATGGGGCGCCCTCATTTGCTCTTTGGGGCTAAAAATCCACTTTACCAAGACCCATAGCTTTCCCCTATGTTGCTCAAGGATCAATACGCCCTGGCCCCAGGCCCAATTTCTCTCGAGGTTCTTGCCGGTTGTAGGTAGGGCTTTGTCTGACAACGGACAACCCGATGTCACTTGTGGGGGCTTGAAAAATACTCTCCACTACTATACATGTAAAGCCCTTGTTTTTTTCTTGCTCTCGTGCGCCGGTCCACAGTGCAAGATCAGTAGGATCTTACGGTCCTTTTTCGTTCCCGCCCTATATCATATAGGCCATGATTACAGCATATTACAGCATACGTACGTAGAATTATTGCTCTAAAGGGTTAATGAGTCGGGGTTTACACCAACCCAAGTGCGTTTCAAGTGCCACTTCTTTGCCCGCGAACACCCCCATTGGTAGAGACGTTCTAGAAGCCCTGTGATGGTGTTGGCCCTGGTGGAACTGGGTTGGAAAAAGGTACCCAACTGGATATTCGATCGATTGATTGCGGGGACTCTTTTGTAACGCCCTGCCCATCATGTTTGAAGATTTATTTTAAACACTCATCGGCGCGCCCGTACGTCGCCCGATTGACCTTTTCCAAGAATCAAAAACCTTAGGTCCGCCAGATATTGGGTAGACTTGCGACCACTGTATGTTCTTCAAGTTTCGCCCCTCCTCTCTACTATCACTGCCACTTTATCACGCTTCCCCCTATAATTTCTGGCCCCATTGGCCCCCATTGCGTGTCCCAGTGTAGTCCAGAGTGGTCTATGACCCCTTTGAACTCCTAATGTCGTTCGAAGCTTCTCGCTCACAAGATTCTTTAATTCACTCCAGGAACCAAGAGGACCAGCCTAAAGACTCAGCCTCACAGTTAAACACTGGATTTATCTCTCTAATCGAGTCAGCGCAGGCGCCAAGCTACCAACAAGGCTTTCCAACCCAAACGACGACTTGGTCATTTAATGCGCCAGCGCCAGAACCAGGTCCAACACATAACTTTTCAACCTCTCTGCAAAGCTCTCATAATTCAACGGCTTCGCTAGACTCTAGCGCCAATATTCCATCTTCTATTCTGCATTCCGATACCTCACTTGCTGGACAGAGTGACCAGCCCTCTTTTGACAGTATTGGCCCTGAAGAACAGTTGACTGACGACCAAGGAAGGTACGCTATCTTCCTCCGAGCCCTCTGCAAGCTGGAATAACTTTATTGACTAGATCTACGAAATAATCAGTGGCCTTGGTATAACATCATACCCTATGTCCGTAGCATCAGAGACATATTTCGCTGGCCCGATGCAGCCTCACTCTCAACGTAAGACTACAAGCTTGTCTTCCCCGGGAAATTTCGAATCAGAGTGCACCTGGGCAGGCACAGTTGTAGAACTTTGGAAGAAGTTAAGACTGACAAACTACTATCAGATTATGCCTGGACCGATCGCCCTTTTCAACCGCTGCAGTCGCCCCCAGGGAACATGAACCAACAGTTCCCACCTCCGAATCCACAGCCATATCCCCCAACTGGATACCCAGTCGGTTATAGCGGACAGACCGGTGGGCCTCTATCTAATTATCACCAAGACCTCCCGGCACCATCATCATATCTTTCTACAGCGCCTGGTAGCGCTCAACGACAGCATCAAACTCGCAGGTGCGTAAAGGCCCCATGAATACGGATCAAACCCACAGGATCATTACTAGGAAGACGAGCTAACATATGCCTTAGCCCATCGACATCTCGGCATTTCCCTCCCCATTCAGCTGCTGGGCACATGCCCGATCAAGCGCTTTTGCCCTCGTAAGTTCAGAGTCTGCCCGCAATAGCGTGGTTTTGCTGGGCTTCGCTGGGCTTCAACTGGCTCGCATAATTCGGGGGAAACAGACTAACAGTTATTCCCGCAGTTCACCCCCTTATAATATGATGGGCCAGCCTCCATACTATCATCTTCCAGAAGCACCACCAGTTCCGTAAGTAGACCTGCCAGGTTCTAAAATATCCCCCTTATACTAACAGATGTAACTAGATCTTCTCATCATTCCTCGATCAACTCGCACACATCTTCAATGATGCACGATCCCATATATTCCCACGACTCGGTAAACGCCGCTTCAAACAAAGAACATCAGCTTCATGCGATGAGCTCGCGACCAAGACCGCAGTGCTGGGATCACGGCTGTAATGGTCGAGAATTCTCGACATTCAGCAATCTTCTTCGACACCAGCGCGAAAAGTCCGGTGTGGTCGCCAAGGCAGAGTGTCCTGTGTGCGGAGCTGTGTTTACCCGCACGACGGCGCGCAATATTCACGTTGCCCAGGGCAAATGTAAAAGCGCGGGAGGAGAATCGTCGACTGAGTGAGTCGGACGTTGTATATTGGTCTACTGACCCCACTGGCTGGGCCTACCAAAATAGAAATCTTGTTAAAATATTGAGTAATATAAATACTACAACTTGGTATAGATGGAAAGCCACCACGTTTGTATTGCCACTAGTAGTATATCTGTTCCAAGGTTGTAGGCTTCAACTTGAAGTTTTCAGGTAACTTACAATAAGAAAAACTGAAACAGATACTATGAGATGGAAAATTTTGTGTATTGGAGTACCTTCAACTTGAACTTCCTAGACTGGACACTGGAGGGTATTCATCACCAGAAAATATACGAGTGTATACTACTTGATCTCGGGGTCCTGAAATTCCATTTTCAAGTACACAGAACACAATTATCTTCATATATTATCAAAGACCGACGGATCAAAATTATCCGATATTTACTAGTAGTAGCGTATGCTCTTGGTTGGCTGGAGAATAATTCTGCTATTCGCTGGCTGGGATATCTCAGCACCTGGGTAACCAATCTTGAACCACAGTCTTGATTCTGCTATTTCTTCACATTATGCCATATCATAAAGCTTATGATATCGCTGTTCTAGATTTAAATGTTTAAAGAAGTCAGATGGGATGACTTGTTCCACTGACATCTGCCAAGGAATCAATTATTATGGGGATATAGGCCCACTGTTTCAGCATGACAGATGTGGAGTGCGTTGAGGATAACTTTGGATCCTGCTTGAAGAATCACATTGGTCGTCGATGTCTCAGCCTCGATTGGAAACCGCTGACGAGAAGCACGCCTAGGCTCGTGTCGGCTCGTATTTCTCGCGCCAAGGTCGACAAATGTATTTTGAGGGACCCCGCGAACGGAATTCTACTCTAGTGGGGCAGGGAACTTACTAGTTGTGAGTTGGAAGGCTTCCAGGTCCTTCGTATCCAGTCGTCGGTGTCTGAGATCTATTAGATCAAGTGACTACCAGTGGTCACTGGCAGTTCCAACTTGAATTTCTGAAGGATGGGCTGAAGTTCTGAGTCCTGAGTAGTACTGGAAAACTATATAAATCCGGGAGAGGTCACGGTGGATCCATCGCATTGAAGGACCCAGTACCTAATCAAGACTATTTCTACATTATACTAGTACCAGCCCTGGAGAGTACTACTAGTACCATACTCCAGCTAAGATCCACAACACCATGCACTTTTCCAACCTAAAGCTGCTTGCTCTTCTTTTCTTTTACCAGTCTAATAAGTAAGTATTTACTCTAATCACTGATTAGTAGCTAGCTTAATTTTTGCAGCGGCGAAATGTGCACCAGGATGCGGCGATGCTGATGCTTGTATTGGGACTGAATTCTGCACTACTGCGACCTTCACCACACCCAGCTCGACTGTTCTGACAACATGCGTGCCCACGGCAACTTGCCTTGGGGTATATGGTAAGCATCCGACTGATGAGTCGGCTGGCAAAGGCAAAAGTGCTAATAGATATTAGCCCAATGCGATTTCGGTACTGGGATGGGCTGTTGCTCGGGGTATTGCGCGGCGACCAGATGCCGACCCACTGATGAAAAGTGGCCTGGGTGTAATGAGGACAATGGGCCATGTTTGGCTGATGAGAATTGTTGTTATGGGAATAAGTGTGTTCAGGGTCTTTGTAAGAGGGGGGTAGAGTAGATGATCTCTCACAGCAACTGGGAACTAAATTTACCTTGTTTTTACTCTAGGTGAATATATTGAGCAATGATTGATAAAATCTGCTCCGTACCTATTCGTTCGTAGAGCTGGTTTTACTCATTATGAATAGTAGGATAGTAGTAGTATCTCTACACGATTAAATTTTCGCCGAGGTATCTTCTCTGATACCTAGGTAGTATATTTAAGATAGATTTCAAAATGTCATTTGAAGTAAGCCCAATTGATAATTGGAACCAAACGATATAACTTCCAAGGCTGAATCAATGCTATCAAAATACATCTCTTCTAATAGCCTCCATTATCTTTCCCATTCCAACTGAGTTAAGGCAGAGTAGCCCTAGCACTCAACAGATACCGGTGCGGTGTATAATTTAACTACTAGTATTCCATAGGATCTTTTAACATAATCTAATCATACCTACCCTATCCTAGTCATACTTAGTACTGTAATCGACTTCCAATTGGTCCAATCGTCTCCCGCGCGGGGCCACGTGATGCCTGAGGCAGGAACGTGACTCAAAACGCGGTCGACTCAACTGGAGTTGCGCCGCACCGACTTGGAACTGTCAACCACCTCACTTTGCGCAAGAATGCTGTTTGTCCTTCAATTACAGTACTGGCATATATCTGGATATCGAATACCTTTACACCTTATATTACCCGTGTGAAACTGTGAAAACAAATCTTATATTGCATCCGCGATTGACCGCCATGGCATCCATATTCACCTATGACCCTGACCCGCCCCGGGTTTCGTCCCCGTGGTCGACTTCTGGGTCGTCGACGCCCCAAATCGCCGCCGCAAGTGGAAGAGGGCTGTCAATACGGACGAAATCTAGTGCAGCTCTGGATCATGCAGAAGCAGACTTTCTGTCCGACTATGGGATCACCAAATTGGAGCCCGAGCCCCAAGAGGGTCCCACGGAGTACAAGTTGCATCTGCTACTCCGTCCACGACGGCCATATATTGCTATGTCGACAGGCCACGTAGTTGCCGGCTCTTATCATTGTCGCGCGGCCATTGGGAGCCAGAAACCGCCTTCGCAGGGACCATCTCCACTCCAGTATGCAACTACCCCGCGGCCCATGCAAGCGAAGTCCAGTCAGAGCCGCCAGCAACGGCTACAGGGGCTTACAACTCAATTACTATGGCGATTGCAGCAGTCATCGCCGTTTCATTCGTCTACTACGGCAAATCTTGTTGTTCCGGTCCTTCCAGAGGCGACACTGCCTACCAAGCCCGCTCGCTTGTTACCTGGGCTTGAAGAAAGTCAAGGTGCTTTGTATGAGATTGGAGTTGCCGATGATGGAACCTTTGTCGGCCTCACGCAAGGTGAACTTGACGAGAGTATAACAACCCTGCAAGCCATGGCTGCAAGTCTCGGATGCAAGGTGGAGATACTCCGCAGAGTTCTTGTTGGGAAATGCGAGTGGGCAGAAGAATGCTCAACTACACTGCCAGAATCGGCCAAAATCCAAAAGGAAGATCTTTGGGTTGCAGAAGCTCTCGTCAGCCCCGATCTTGATTTTTACAACCTCTCTCCAGCCCTGGCAAGGAATAATGCGGACAATACATCGAAAGCAGAGTCTGTGTCTAATCCTGCTTTGGAAGAGGAATCTTCGCATACCGAGCAGATTCGAATATCAATAGCGGGTCCTAGTACAGCCGGGAAGTCCTCGTTACTGGGAACCTTGACCTCTTCTACTCTCGACAACGGCAGAGGCTCAAGCCGACTAAGTCTGCTCAAACATCGACACGAGATATCATCAGGAATTACCAGTTCCGTCGCCCAGGAGCTCATTGGGTATGCAGCAGATGAACCGCCTGCCGTGATAAATTATGCGTCTGGGAATGTGGCTGCATGGGATGATATCCATGCCGCTTCGCATGGTGGCCGCCTGGCTTTCGTCTCTGATCTTCCAGGATCCGTACGATATATGAAATCTACGTTACGGGGCCTAGTCAGCTGGGCACCTCATTATGTGTTGCTTTGCATTCCAGCGAACTGCGGAGCTGAGACAACAGAAGCGGAAGCTGGCAGCGAACAATTTCCCGAAATCGACCTCTGCCTCGCGTATCTCACTCTATGCTTGAAACTCGAGGTCCCCGTGCTGATCGCCATCACAAAACTTGACGTGGCATCTCGATCCGGACTACGGGAAAATCTCGCCAAAGTTTTGTCAGCATTGAAGGCCGCAGGATGCAAGCCTGCAATACTACCGGCGTCTCCCACGGCCGACAAAACTCTTGATTTACATCAGGTCAGCACCGCGGACCGCACTGAAGTTCAAAAGGTCATTGAAGCAGCGAATGGAGATTGGTCTCGCACGGTACCAATAATCCTCTCCAGCGCCGTGGACGGCACCGGTATCGGCAAACTACACGCATTTATGCGCTACTTGCCCATTCCCCAACGCCCGCCTCAAAGGACACACCGTCTCTCCGAGCCCACAGTCACAGACCAAACAAAAGCCAACTTCTTCGACGTGGACGAAGTCTTCGCCATCCCCCGTCAAAAGTATACTCAATATCCGCCGACAAGGGTAACGAGAGCAGGGGAATGGTACTATGCGGTCTAGTCCGACATGGCAGTATCGCCATCGGCGATGAAATGACCCTAGGCCCAATCCTAGTCGACACTACCGCAGACAACGACAAAGAGCCAACACCACTCAGTCTTCTCTCCCGCAGCAGCGGGCCCGGATCCTCGGCGAATTCCCAGCCTCATTCGCAGCAAGCGTTCTGGCCAAGGACCCCAGCGCCCAGGCGAAATGGCAGCGCGTTCGAGTAGTCAGCGTGCGTGACCTCCGACTTCCCGTCCACAGACTCAAACAAGACCAGGTCGGGACCATTGGAATTGAGCTCCTCGCCTCATCTACCGAGGAAGGAAATATGCCTCGGATTAGCCGAATTCGAAAGGGAATGGTCTTGACGGATTTCCAACCAGCGGGCGATTCGCTCCCCTCTCCACTCCCGTCGACATTGTCCCTGCCCTTCCATACCGGATTCACAGCGACGTTCCCGGCCTCTGCATTTTCGGCCCCGAGCTCGCCACCGCTGTTGCTGGGTGGTAATGCTATCGCATATATTGCCAATATCAGGACGACGGTCCGTGTAGTGAGTATGGCGTTGGCCGGTGCAAATGACGAACTTGTCTCGGAACCACCGTCACCGTCGGAGCCTGAATTCTTCTCTTTCGACGGAGATCACTCGCCCTCGCCCTCGCCGGGCCAGGAGAAGGTTAATGGTGGCGGTCCTCAAATGAATGGCGCGAATGAAATTCGTCGACGACAATCTGCGACGGACATCAATAAGGTTGTCTCGAATAATGTTCCGGAGAATGGCGTCAATCAAAAGAATGGAACCTCGATGCCGTCTGAGACTTTGCGTGAAGATGTCAAGATTACCTTTGCCCTTGTTACGTCTGTGGAGTGGATTGAACTTGATTCAAGGGTCTTGGTTATGCCCGGTGTCACGATGGGACCATCCTCTGGTATTGCGATGTCGACGCCTGCGTCCGGGGCTGCAGTCGTTCCAATGTCGGGATTGGAAGGGTTTGTGGGTACCGTGTGCGAGGTTGTTCCTTGGAGGGCCTCTGGTGAGAATTAGAGTAGAAGTTGGCAATATGCATTTGCTTTAGATATGTTTTGTTTTGTGATTTTTAAAGTTAACCTTTTTTGTACTGCCAGTCAGCGCTTGCATTTGGAATTTAACGCATCTTGAATTGGTTATTACATGTCATACTGGTAGTTTTGTTGTAGGGGATATTCTACGGACGGTTGATCCAATACTGCTACGTCGGGGTTGTAGATTGAAAGCAATTGACTTGGTCGATATTCTAGAATTCCTTCAAGGGGATAGTAGAAGCATCTAGAAAAGATGGACTTGCCAGAAGCAACTTCCAAGGTTCCTATGACCCATTCTCTGCGCCAACAGAAGGGGAAAATAGAACAAGTCAAGAACGATGTGTATGTCACTCCACCCCGAATATTCTCAAGATTGAGTAGAAACAACACATCGATACATAAATGAGAGCAGTATTTGCTCCTGTTCTCGATTCCGAACATTTCTGCCAATTTTGGCAGATAGGCGGCGACCGTGATGGTCGCACAAATAATCTCTCTGTTTTCATTCCGTGAAGGAAATCTTCCCATCATGAGCCACACGATATCATCTCACCCCGGGGTATTTGCATGGAAGTGTAAATCGGATATAGATAACACCTAAATGTCACCTATAACCCGATACCGCGAAAAAAAGGAACAAATTGGACAAGTATCGTCGTATCAACGCAAACCCTATCTTGCAAGGGCCAAGTTGACCTTAGTTGTAAGCCGCCCCGAGTAAATCTATCCGCCCTTGCGCTGATCCCGGGCAAAAGTACTGGTTGATCCGATAGTGGCACTAGCATTGCGGAACTCGATTTTTTTGCGTTCCATCTCAAGCTATGAATCAAACTTCGTTAGCCTACGACCCTCTGAAAGAGCAACCGCCATCTCGAGATATTGCCATAGATTTCACTTACCACCTTGCGAACTCGAGCGAGAGCGGCTGTATCACCGTCCACCAATGGGCGGCAATCCTCCACGCGGTAGGGAGAGGCAATGGTAACGGCGTCCGCAACGACAATGTTGGAAGAATCCCAGCGAGCAGGCATCGTCCGGCTAAAAGCGTCGAAAATCTCCTGAGCTTCACGAGTGACGCCCTTACCCCGACGCGCCTCACGATCCATCGCATCACCAATGGCCTTGGCCTCACGCGACTTCAGGGCACGGGGATCGAGGGGCTGGATGGGCGGTTGGGCATCGGTGAAAGATGGGGATTCGGAGGAATTCGAAGACGGGAGAGTGAGGAGCTGGAATGACTGAATGCGAGATATCGGGATGACATGGTAGTCTCCGTTCTGGGCCTGTTTAGGGTCTGCGGGCGAGGGAGCGGGGTTGGTGTTGATAGCGACGAGGTTCGTGATCGGGCATGCTGTGAAGAGCACACCTTCAAAGGTAGAGGGCGTAGGTGAAGCTGCGGTGATGCGAACGCTGGCAGAGAAGAAGACATGGTTAGTTTTGGAGCAAACAAAAGACAATGAAAGGTGCAATGATCAATGAACATGGTGATCTGGACAGTCTGGCTTGTGCCAGCGCAGCAGCTGGCAACGAGGTCGCACTCACCGAGCACCGATTGCGCCGCTCAAAGCAGCGTCCATGGGTACCATAGCAGTCGCCATGCCGGGCCCAGATGCACTACCCGATGAACCTTGAGATCCTTTGGCACCGGAACCCTGGCGCTTATTCTCCGCCATGCGGCGTGTGACGGTGATTGCCGGGCGGTGTGATTCACACGAGTCCACAACAGGAACAGGGAGGATTAGGATATCCTTAGGTGAAAGCAGGTGGCGTGCCTATTCACCTTTACCTATGAGCGACGGTGAGCTCAGCTCATGCGACGCAAGCGGGTGTCAATTGGAGTTCTTGTCCCAGCAGGAGCTCTCAATCAGACTCCCGTATGTAGGAAGGAAGCCTGCGGACGAGGGAATAATCCTTCCTGTTAGGATGGGAGCTTGGGAAAACCCAATTCCTTTGTGAATAGAGTCGGCCGGGGGTGGAGGAGGAGGAGAGAAAAGGAAAAGAAAGAAAAGGACGAGAGTCCTAGGAGTAAAAAGACGATGGAAGGGAGGCAGGAGGGGAGACGCCGATAAGATGGCAGGTGCGATGGGACGTTGCTTGGGATAGCCCCGATCTGGTTTAGCGTGGTTTCCCAACAATTACCTCATTAATGCCTGAGGAATCAATCTGTACACTTCAACCTTTACGAAGTGGCCGCAAAAGTTGCCAACTTCCTTCTTGCCCACCATTATTTAGTACCTATCTATTCCATCTTGGGTAGCTACTAGTCTGCCATAGGAAGTTGAGGACTAGGGAGGTCAATAAGGGACTAGAAATTTTTGCAGCGCCACTGTATACTCTGTCCATTTTACAGTCTATACATCTACACCTACATCTACCGTGCAACACTTGTCTGTACTTGTAATAATGTACTTGTAATAATAGTTCGTAACGTTCCATTCATGCGGCATCTAAATACATTGAACCCAAATTTTTACCCTTCTATCTCCCACTTGGCATTTATGCCACGTAGGTGGAGGCAGACACATCACCGCCACGGCCGGTCCAGTTGACGTGGATGTCCTTGCCCTCGGGGAAGGTCTCGCTGGCGTGCTCGGGCTTGATGCGGAAGGTGTGGGCACCGAAGTAGTCACGCTGAGCCTGCAGCAGGTTGGCGGGCAGGTCCTTGGTGCGGTAGCCGTCGTAGAAGCTAAGGGCAGTGGTGAAGGCAGGCAGAGGGATACCCCACAGAGCGGACTTGCTGACAACGTTTCTCCAGCCGGACTGGGCGGTGGTGATAGCCTTGGTGAAGAAGTCGTCGAACAGAAGGTTCTCGAGGTCGGGGTTGCTGCGGTAGGCGTTGGTGATGTCCTTCAGGAAGACGGAGCGGATAATGCAACCACCGCGCCACATGAGGGCAATGGAGGGCTTGTTGAGCTTCCAGCCGTACTCCTTGGCGGCCTATTCTCAGTAGTTAGCTTAATGTTTCAAAAATCTCGAATGGGATCGACGAATTCTTACGTTCTGGATGAGCATAAAGCCCTGGGCGTAGGAGATGATCTTGGAGGCATACAGGGCCTGCTCGAGGTCATCGATGAAGGCGGCCTTGTCGCCCTCGAATTTGGGGGTGGGGCCACTGAGGATGGTGGCGGCACGGGTACGCTCGTCCTTAAGGGCAGACAGGCAGCGGGAGAAGACGGCCTCGCCGATCAGAGTAACGGGCATGCCGAGGTCAAGAGCGTTGATGGCGGTCCACTTGCCGGTACCCTTCTGGCCGGCCTTGTCGAGGATCTTCTCAACGAGGGGAGTGCCGTCGTTGTCGTTGTAGTAGAGAACGTCGCGGGTGATCTCAATGAGGAAGGAGTCCAGAACACCAGTGTTCCACTTGGCGAAAACATCACCAATCTCCTTGCAAGAGAGGCCGAGACCACGCTTCAGGATGTCGTAGGCCTGCATGGAGAATTAGCACCGCTGCTTGGCTGCAGAGCCGCGGGGATAGTGGGGCATGAGGAACGTACCTCGCAGATCAGCTGCATGTCACCGTACTCAATACCATTGTGAACCATCTTGACGTAGTGGCCAGCACCCTCGTCACCGACCCAGTCACAGCAAGCCTCACCGTCGCTCTTGGCGGCGATGCTCTGGAAGATATCCTTAATGTGGGGCCAGGCGGCTTCGTTACCACCGGGCATCAGGGAGGGACCGTAACGGGCACCTTCCTCACCACCGGAGACACCGCTGCCGACGAAGCTGATGCCCTTGTCGGAGAGGTAGCGGGTACGGCGGTTGCTGTCGGGGTAGTGGGAGTTACCACCGTCAATGATGATATCACCCTTCTCAAGGAAGGGGAGGAGGGACTCGATGAAGTCATCGACGGGCTTGCCGGCCATGACCAGGAGCATAATGCGACGGGGGCGCTTCAGCTTAGCACAGAACTCCTGGATGGAGTGAGCACCGACGATGGGCTTGCCTAGGGAATATCAGCATACGGGGTCTAGGAAAGAATACCCTGCGGTGCCTCGTAGAGCCAGAGAAGGTGGGAAAGTGGGCAATATTCAGATTGGCTTACCCTTGGCCTCGTTCTCGAGGAAACGGTCAACCTTGGAGGTGGTACGGTTGAAAGCGCAAACGGTGAAGCCGTGGTCGGCAGCGTTCAAAATCAGGTTCTGGCCCATGACGGCCAGACCGATGAGGCCGAAATCAGCACTGGGAACATGATGCACCGGAGCGCCGACATTGATGCCGGCGAGACGGGCGCTATCGTCAGCGACATAATTCTCTTGTCAATAGCCGCGAAACCGCGAACGAAGGGGAAATGGGAAGAAATGGTGGTGGGGAAGACCCGAGTGATTCCGAAGATCGCGGAGCTTTGAGCTCCTGGCGTGGATAATGCGCCAGCATGAATTGCAGCCACGTTGGTAACACTGGACTGCAATTGCCGGGCCTCTCACAGGTCACAGAAGCTCGCGGACTCGTTGTCCGGGAATCCCCAGGGGAATCCTCGGTATAATAGTTGACAATGGCGGGGGAGGGGGAGGAAGAGGGGGGGTAAGGGAAAGCTTGACGGAACTGGTGGGAAGAGGAGGATTGTATAGGGTAAAGAGGAAGAGAAGGATGATAACTTACACAGCTTGGTCAGCCATGATGGATGATGTGAAATAAAGAGTGGTGAGGAAAGAAAGGGGAGAGAGGGTTGAAGGAGGATAAAAGTATGGAGGGAAAAGAAGAGAAGTTGAGCCCAACCGGGTGACGGAGCAAGTCTTCCGTCATCTGGTGGGACACGGGGGGGCAGCAGCAGAACCAGGTCACCTCTAGTAGACTTAGCTTATTAGGAGTGGAGGCGTAACCGTCGAATCTACTCATACATGGCCATTACTTTGTCCGGTGTAGCGCCAAGTATCCGGTCCAGGACGACTCTGCTCCGGTGAGGGTCATCCCACTCGGGTTCTGTTCTCGGAGGATGGGGGTAGCGATCATTATCCGACCCGATCGATACTCTCATCAATT